GTCCAGCGTGCGGTTCTTGTTGCCCCGCGCTCGCTCCCAGCGGCTCAGCTCGGACATGGAGTCCGTCTTGTTGAGGACGGCGCCGACCTCCAGGGTCCTGCTCTTCTGCCGGGTGGGGTCGAGGGCGTGGCGGGGGACCGGGGGAGTGACCGCCGGAGCCTCTGGGTCCTTCTCGCAGCCGTCTGGCGCGGCATCACGGCCGATGCAGCCGGAGCTGCTGTGGTGTTTGTCTTTGGAGAGCGCGCGCAGACGCAGCAGCTCGCCGCCGCTCCAGTGCCTGAAGCTGAAGCTGCGACGCAGGAGGCCGGGGGGGCGCTTCAGAGGAGGCGTCTCAGGGGAGGAGGCTTTGGCTGCTTTGCCGTTGCTTTTGGAGTGAGACATTTTCCCATCGCCGTTCAGGTCGGGGCTCCTCTCCTCCATGCTCTTGGCTTTCAGCAGTCTCTTCTTCTTCCTGCCGTTCTCCGCGGCGGCGTCTGTTTGTGGAGCTTCAGTGCACAAATCCTCTGTAAGCCTCCCTGAGTCCACCGCTTCCTGCCCCTGCGAGTCCTCTCTGCCGAGCTCCGCCACCGGGCTCGTGGCCTTTTCCTTCAGCTCTTTCTGGAGGAGGTGTTTCCTGGAGACCTTCAGCCTCCCCAGCTCCAGCTGGCCCGTGCTGAACGTCCTGAAGTTCCTCATGTAGCCGTGCGCCGACGAGAACTCGTCCGACTCGTCCTCCACCTCCTTCAGCTGCTCCAGCAGGCCGCCGCGCTGGACCTCCGCCGAGCCCTCCCTCCGGATGGCGCTCACCTTGGGGTTCTCTGCCCGCCGGGGGCCCGACCCGCCGTCCTCATCGTCCAAACTCTCCCTCTTCACCAAGGTGAGGGAGATCCGGTACACGGTTTTCCTCTGAGGCGTGCCCCTCTCCATCCTTTCAGTGCAGTTGCTGTCCAGAAGGTACATCCCTGATAAAAACTGCTCCTCCTCAGCTCTGATCTCTGCCCGACACAGATCCAGTCAGAAACCCAGTGAACTGAAGCTCCAGTGCTGCTGCACTATTTACATTAAAAGAGGGTTTCTGCTTTAAACGGGTTTAAATGGAAATAAGTTTCTCCACTAACGGGTTCAACTGCACCAGAAACAAAACGCTACGGGGCAATAACCGACTCTCCCCTCATCCAGATGTGCAAACAGCGCGGACTTTGACGCAGGAAATACATTCCGTGTTCATCCCAGCGAATTTTAACCGGCGTGTACAAACACTTTCTGCCCGGGCAGAGAAGTCCTTACCACCGGGAGTCCTCCGCCGTGCGTCCCGCCGCCAGCTCTGGATCCTGCTCCGGTATCCGTGTCTCCATTACAGCCCAACCGAGCCGGGAGTGTTTCCCCACCGCTGCGTCCCGGACGGTGCCAGCGCGTCGTCTCCCATTGTGTGCGCACATCCCCCGCAGCGCCCCGCAGCGCCCCGCAGCACAGCCGAGCCCTCTTTCACCTCGATTGTGATTCAAATGCTGTTGGATTTCAGAGACCAGGACCCGGACTCTCCCCTGCTCTGCTCCGGATCGCTCGAAGCTCCCTGACCCCGACACAACGGACGGCAGCCGCGGTCCGGTTCCCTCCTCCGCACACTGAACACACTCTCTCCTCTCTCTCTCTCACACACACACACACACACACACACACCGAGCACAGCAGCAAGGGATGATGGGAAACCACGGAGCGGAGTCTCAGCTGAGGACCGGACCCGGGTTTGGCTGCATTAAAGGAGAAACCCTCCTGGGAGCAGAACCGGGTCCGTTTGGTGGGTCATTCGCATCATTAGCATTAATAAGAACATATATGGAGAATATTTCAGCAATGTGAACAGTAGTGGGGGTTAGGGTTGACTAATGTGGCCACTTCAGCTCCAAACGAGCATTTTGTCATTTAAAAATGGATTCAACATCCTCAATAAGCTCCAAAAGAACTCTTATATTGTTAATATAGCTGATTATAAATGCTTTATTACTTGTTTGTGTCAGCAACTTGATCAATAAAGTCGATTCTGAACCCAAGATGAAGATATATTTTTTAAATGAATGCTGATTTTAACAGACAATGAAATAAATTAAGACTGCAAATAACCTTTATTTTCATTGATCAATCCCTTTCTCAATTAATTGATTAGTTATTTGGTCTCTAAACTGGTGAACAATGTTGATCAGTGTTTCCCAAAGTCCTCAAATCTCAGTTTGCTGTCAGAGGATCAAAGAAACCTTAAAATATTCACATTTTAGAGAAATAATAAATTGATGGTTTGCAGCTCTGTTATTGATTATTTTATTAATCATTCGGCTTTTAAATGTCCAAAAACATGTTCAGATATCTTGTTTTTGTCTGATCCACAACTGAAAACTCAAATATATTCAGTTTACTGTCACACAAATCAAAAAATGAGAATCTGGATCCCTTAAAGAGGATCAATCTGCGATCAATGGATCAGCTCTGGTTGTATGTAGGTCAGCGGGACACAAACATCCAGAGAGTCCGCTTCGTGTTTTCCAGCCTGCAGCGGTCTCTACAAACAGGGTGGAGTCTCCTCTTCCTCCCCTCTTCCTCCCCTCTTTCTGTCAAGATCTTTAAAGCCTCCAGGCAGCCACACACACACACACAC